GATACCCAAGCACATATATGATGCATTGTGATACCGTTGTAGTATCACCGGAGGACAGTGGCCGGAGAGAGCCGGAGAGAGAAGAGAGGAGGGAGGAAAGTTTTAAAATACCAAAAATATCCTTGCATTAATATTTTAATTCAAAATTGCCAAAATTATAAATTTCCTAATTTATCTATTGATTTGTGGTTAATATTGGTTCTCACAGTTACCACAAACTAATTAGTTCTCATTTGATTAGGCCCCTATATATATATATATATATATATATATATAAATATAATAATCAAAACAATTTAATATATATAAGAACCATCTAAATTTAATATTCAACTAGTTCATATATCGTCTAAATTTATCAACAAAAAAACATTCAAAATCATCATAGCATGTTGAACGATCTTGAATCTCCGAACGTTGGTCTTGAACAATTAATGAAGATGAAAAACTTGGAACTAACCGGCTGGATACAATTGACCTCACCATTTGTCGCAACTCAACGACTTCATCCTTCATAAGAAAGAGCTCTGATTTGGTTGAAGCAAGTTCAGACTCTGTTGAAGCAAATTAGACATCTCGGTGTGGCTCAATCAACCTGACGCACCGGTGCTATGTCGCGAACTCGTAGAATCGCTCCTAGTGCTCGGGACCTAGATCATCCCCGAATATTTGCAGGTCTTTTGCCTAAGACTTGTTGCATAATCTCTAGATCACCCGGATGATTTTCTGTTGATTCAGTTTGCCGCTTAATCTCTACCTGTTCTCCTATAGACATAAAAATCATATATATAAATCTTAGTGATTTATAAAACGATGAAGACATGCAAAAAAGTTCGTTAAACGTAACTTACAAATGAAGTGCGAGAATAGTCATTAACCCAACCCTCTTTTTCTCTATAATGCAACTTTCAAAAAGTCTCTATCTCACCCATAAGAGGATTGTCCGACAATCCTCTATTTCGAAAATGGTGATTTGGAGTGCTCACTGTACCGTTTAAAGCAACATACTTTCGCTTCCCCTGTTCTCAGAATATTTCCTTGACATAGCCTACAGAAACAAAATATGATTTATAATTGTTATATATAAAGAAGAAATCAGATAGGAGAGATAAGTAGGGACCCCCTTGAATGTATCAATTGTGAGAATGGGTTGTAAGTTGTACGTAACAATGACCCCCCCCCCCAAAAAAAAAATCTTTACAACTGTTATATATTGTTATAACCTATGTTATATAGTAGCAATTTCTGCTAAGAATTCATGTGGTTCAGATCAAGTACAAGAGTCGATAAATAAAATGATAAAAATGCAAGAAGATTATCCAAGAAATGGCCCTTTACGTAAAAGGTACCTTCAAAGACATGTAATTTCTATTAGGTAGCTTCATCTAGCTCTAGCATTTGATCATTTAATTTTGCATTCAACATTCTAGGTTGTGTTCCTGTTCATCAGCCAAAAGCTTTATGCCCACCAATAAAATGTTACCAATGATCGCAATCATTCTAGCATATTCAATGGAGGTTAAAATTTGACTTTTTGGATAGCAGGCTTTCATTTGTCATGCAAAAATTCATGTGGTTCAGATCCTAGAAATGCCAAAAGAGATCAAACTTCTGGAAGTCTTTTGCCAAAGACAATGCACATTAATGGAAGTTTCTTTTGCCAAAAACAGTACACATTACATAAAGTTACTACAAGTTTAGCAACAAATCTCCATCCAAGAATTCTACGTCCACAACTTCAAACATTTTTAAAAGAATAAAATACCAAGTACTGTGATTTGTCGGGTTAAATATTGAAAAAATAAGTCACTGAGGAACCCAATCAAGAGGCAACAAATTGATCAAACAATATAGGCACATGAATTGTTGTCATATGAAGCAATCAAACAAACAATTATACAATAAAATAATTAAATGTTTGCAGGTTCAGAATTGGTTTTCATACAACTATATACTTCTATATGTCCCATTTTAACAACAGTTACTTATCTATTGTAATTTTATAGCTGTAAGCAATAGTTGTTCATGCCTCGACAATTAAGATATCTTAGTTTAACTAACTACAAATAAACATAATCAAATACATGAAACACCCCAATAGAAGATCAAGATAGAAGTTGCAGACATAAAACACCTCCACAACTCTATACTAAACCTAGTTGAAGTTGATCCAAGTCCAAATAACTAAAATGCAACAATTAGGACCAAAAGAAATAAATGAGAACACAATAAGATTTTTGCACATTGATAATTTAATTGGTTCATTTTTTATTTTATTTTTTATATTTCTTACCAAGACATTTTCAAGATATAGAAAATAAACAACATTAAATTTACCGACATTTTTTGAATTATAAGACAAAACATATCAAGATCCAAAAACAATTTACATGAAACTTCTCTGAACTCCAGTAATCGCAAAGTATATGCCAAGCATCATTTGTAACATTCGAGTCAGTTGGCTTCATTCCTTTGGCTCTTTCCACGTCCTCCTGGCCATGGCATTTTAAAAAATGCTCTTGCAGCTTTGCTCGGTGATTTTTGAAAGATCGACCCATTTGGAGGTCAATCACATCAACCACAATCTTCAAAGACAAGTCGACATCAAAATTTATCTATAAAATAAATACAAGAATGACACAAAATTTGTTAAGGATAAGAACAAGAATGACACAATATAACTTGCCAAAATCCTCTCATGAATACTAGTCTTGATAGATTTAGGGACCTTCCTCCAATCCATGTAATTGAAGGGATACATCTTACGACATATTACGCCGCATTTGTTGTTAAACTTCTCGGAGTTTGTCCCAACTGCTTGCCTAAACTCCTCGCAAAAGTCTACAATCAACCTAACTCCTCCCATAATAAAACCCATAATTTTAAAAAATGAATATATAAATAATTAGCAAAGCACTTTAAAAAAAAGGGAAGTTGGAATAGTTGGAGTGGGTGGCCAAGTGGTGGTTACATCAGGTAAAGAAAGATGCATTTGCAAGCTTTCCAAAAGTTTGAATTTTTTATGTTCAAGATTTCTTGTTGTTGACTTTGAATATATCTCAAGCTAATATACATATACATATATATGTATACATAATCATTCCTACTGACCATCATTCCAGGCTTAACTTGCGGAGATAAGTACATATATAATTTCTTTCCTATTGGATATATATTAGAAATTATTGGGGTTTTTATATCTTTTTCCTAGTGCGAAAACGAAAAGTTAACTCCTGAAGCATTTAGTAGCTTTTTTGTTGAATTTTAATGAAATCTTTACTGATTCAATCCTAGAAATTCTGGATTTTCATCTTTTTGTTCTGGTTTGAAAATATAACTTCAAAGCATCTTTTTCTTTAAAATTTGAACCATTTTTAGCTTCTTCGTTTGAAATTGCAAAATGTAGTTTTTTGTCTTCATCTTAGTTAGTGTATGTGAATCTACATCAAGACAAAGAGGCAGAGAGATGATGTAATTGGTAAAGAGTATAGTTATCACTCAATTGCAATTCATTAAAGATAAGCATTCATGGATGTTATCATCTAATTCAATTATTGACTTCTTGTGGTATATTCCAAGTTAACTGGAACAAGTAGATGGGTTTCTATGTGCTATTAGATCAAGTGAGCGTTGGAAAATCTACATTGGCGGCAAGGGTTCCTAAACCCAAAATTGTTGTTGTCTTCTTCTTAGTTAGTGTATGTGAATCAAAACCAACCTCCTGTATATGTTTTTGTTCTTTTATGTCTATGTTTTTTTATAACTCTTACGATTTCTATCTTAGGAATTATGTATTTGAATTAATGTTTTGATCATAATTTCAGGTAGATAAGACTAAACTGAGAGGTAACTCCATGTTCAGTGAAATGTGTAACAGCACTCTATGCTTCATATAACATGGTTTGACTAAAGTATATATATATATGCTTCTGACTCTAGTTGTCACGGGCTTGTAATCATATATATATATATATATATATATATAAGGCTTGTAATCAACATTGTCGTTTTGGTGTGTAATATCCTAGCCATGGCATAGAATGTGTGAATTGTGACTTGATGATAAGAGAACCGATCTTTTTGCAAGATCTTTACATTTTCAGTGCTTGCTGTCATGGTGCAGATATTTTGCAATTTTTTAATCTTTTAACTAGTTGAAAGTTTGTTGTTTTTCTTGACAAGTTGAGAATACCTGCTATAAAAATCCACCTAGACTGATACGGAATACATGGACTTGAATCCAATACAAACAACTAATTGGATAACAAAAGGAAGCCACTTATTCAACAAAAAGGAGGGGGTGAGATAAGACTTGGCCAATATGCACAAGATTCTACTCAAATTGTGGTCTGTGTGAGGATATTGTGGTTGTTGGCTAATACATCTTTAAGATAAGACCATCCTTCTCAATATCCAAACAGAGTTTTCACCTCCCATTTGACTCTGCAATGGTCAGAGGCACTCTTTATTATGGTATTGCTGGTGGTCCTAATACATTCTTATCTTTCCATTGGTTATATGAAGTCTTAGATATGCCTTTTTGTTCGAGTGAACTTTGTAGTTTGTCAGCTTGTGTACATAGGGTCTGTCTACCTTTAAAAAAAATTACCAACCAAATGAGAAGGTCCAACCCTTATATATATTTATGATTTCAAAACTACCCTTATTTTTTCTAGTTGTCATAGAGCCTGTAATCATGATCATCCATCTAATTCTCCTACCTGCTTGTTTCTTTTTCTTTTCTTTTTCTGATCCACAACACCATAGGAAGGCAGGCAGATAACCCTCTAACCATTCACTCCTAATCCTATCTAAACTCTTCCCTACCTATGGCTGCAGAACATAAAGTTGGTTACACCTGCACAGTGCACACCACCACTCATGAGGCTTTTTAAGTCTCATATCTCCACTTCAGGCATGAATAAGATTTTATTTTCATCATCCAACCCTAGTTACTATGTTAGGCTTTTGCTAATTTTCTCAGACTATMTATATGTTGAATCAGATGCAATAAGACCAGGCAACCTCAACACAGAAGTTGCACAAACCAACTTCAGTCCTGTTGTTTATAATTTACAATCCCTATATGAGACTAATTGTTTATAACTTTTGACACAGAATGATGTAATGCTTGGAACCAGAAACGAAACAAAAGATCATTCAGCTTCTATTGTTCAACACACACAATGGTCTTTTTAGGATGTTTTAGTATGTTTATCATTCACCCTTGAGCAATCATAAATTGGCATACATAATAGTCTGCCTCAAGTCTTATGCACAGAAGAAAGAAACAATGTACTACCATTTATATCAATACCTCCGAGATATTCTTTTATTGGAAGGGGAATTTAGAGAGCGACAACATTTGTTGACTCTGAAATATTGTCAGTCAAGTTTAAAATTGTCAAGGCTTGTATTTTACACACCTGTCTCTTGATTCTCTAGAAAGCTGCTTATTTTATATGGTTTACTTGTTTCCTTCTTCCCGGATGAGCCTTTCTCATTACTTAATTCATAACAGTAATAGTTTATGTGTATTAATTATTTACATCCACGTCAATGAACAGTTAGTTACCTACAAAACTCTATAGCTCTTAGCTTCTAATAAACTCAAAGTTGGAGCTGATGTGCCAAATCTGATCCTCATATGCAGTATAGGGAGCCTGGAGTACTTCAACACACACAAATATGTTATTGTCTATTGACTTTCAAAGACAAGGTAAGAAGCCTTAAAACACCTAAATGGTTTGCGTTAAGGTGCAATATCCTCAAACACCATCTACATCAAATCAAATCTAACATATCTTTCCTATGTGTAGCAGAACATAATTGATAGCTAAATAGGTTATAATTAATCAGTAAAAAAAACTATATAGAAATTTTGAAAATTACAACAACAAAACATGAATCAACAAGAACCTTAGCAGACGATTGTTGGATAACTTCTGGAATTGGACCTATTAACAACATAACATGATTCATATTCTTGTCCTTTAACTGATTTCAGCTTACCTAATCGAGCAATTGATATTTTTTGAAGAATCGCTAAATAGACGTACCTGTTGTTCGAGCAATCGATGCAGAGAAGAGAAGATCAATAACATTCGATGATAGACGAGCGATGGTGATGATCTAGGGCTTCTGTTGATTGAGCAACATTTCTTACAGGGGACGAGAGGACGCGATGAGAAGAAAACGATTTACAGGGAACAATTGGTTTGAATTTTATTTAATATATTATTTATTTAATTTTGATTTATTTTTAATATAAATCTTTTAKATACATTTTTAAAGGGTAACTAAATATCTTTATTTAATTTTTAAAATTTTAAACTTTTTCTTAATTTTTAGAGAAGCTTAAAAATATGTTCCTAAAAATTGATGAAACTTTTTAGGGACATTTTTTTTATAAAAACTTCTTTAAAACTTTTAACGATATTTCTTATAGCGTATAATTAGCTTATAAATCCTTCTTTAAATGTCGTCCAACCTTTAGTTACATTTTTCATTTTTGTCATTTAAATCATTCTCTATAATGTAGCTTCAGATATATTTTTAAAAGTTTCTCTGAAAATTTCTTCTATAAAGCTCCTTACTCTTGTAGTGTTGGTTGATCCCATGAAACCTTTATGAAACCCCAAGGATTCCAAAATGACGTAATCATATTTCAATGGTGCATCAGATTAATATCTCTATATTGGTTCGGTTTCAGGACATCGGAAAAGAAAACATTAAAAAAGTTTCAACTAAAATGGAACAACATAATGCAACAATAATGATTCCAAACTGAAGCAGATTCACGTTGAAAGGATGAGCCAACCCTATATGTGATGATTTAACCAAAAATTTGTTGGAACAAAAACAGAGTATACAAAATATTTGTTTTATTCGAATCAACACATAACAGTATGTTACAGACACAATTAAATATACAAGGAAGGGACACAACCCTTCAAATCAAATGACACAACCATTCTAAACAGACATGACAGTTAACTAACTGTCATGTCCCTTCCTAATAAGATTAATTGTCACTAACGGTTAAACTAAATTACTGTCACTAATGGTCTAGCTTAGTTTCAACATACCCTCTTAAGCTAGACCAGGTAGAACCTTCAAACGATCCCTCATATCTTTGAAATTTCCATGCTGCAAAGCCTTAGTGAAACAATCTGCCAGTTGGTCTTTAGAGGTTCAAAACTCAACTTTGACTTCTTCATTTGTGATTAATTCCCTGATGAAGTGAAACTTGATCCTGATGTGTTTGCTTTTACCATGAAACACATGATTCTTTGAGAGAGCAATTGTAGACCTGTTATCACAAAAAATAGTAGTAGGACCAGATTGAGAATGACTTAACTCATGCAATATATCTCTTAACCAAAGAGTCTGACATCCTGCTGTAGAGAGTGCCATATATTCTGCTTCAGTAGAGGTAAGGCTACAACACTTTGCTTCTTAGACTGCCATGATATTGCACCAGATCCCATGTTGAACATATATCCTCCTGTGCTTCGTCCATCATCAAAATTTCCTCCATAGTCACTATCACTAAATCCCATGAGTTTAAAGTTGTCTGTCTTACAATACACAGTTCTATGATCTAAAGTGCCCTTGATATATTTCAAGATCCGTTTCCCAGCTTCCCAATGGCTGAGTTTTTGGGGAATCCATGAACCTGCTCAGTATACTGACTGAGAAAGTTAAATCAGGCCTGCTGGCAGTCAAATACATAAGACTGCCTACCAGACTCCTGTATAAACAGCCATCTACTCCTTCTTCATTGCTGTGTTTAGAGAGCTTAATCCCAAATTCCATAGGTGTAAAGGAAATATTAGAATGCCCCATATTGAACTTGTTAATCAAGCCTTGTGCATACCTGTGTTGATTGATTTTGATCCCTTCTTCACTTTGCCTTACTTTAATTCCCAGAAAGTAGTGGAGTAACCCTAAATCTGTCATGCAAATCTGTTTTCATGTTGTCCTTAAATTCTTCTATCATAGTGTATGAATTTCCAGTTAAAACCAAAATCATCAACATATATACAGACAATAAGAATCATACCTTCAGATTGTTGAGTGAAAAGGGTATGCTCTTGAGGACATTTGGTGAAACCATGTGCCAAAAAGTATGTTTCAATCCTACTATACCAAGCACGTGGTGCTTGTTTCAATGCATACAAGGCTTTCTTTAAGTGATAAACCTTATATTCCTCACATTTCTTGACATAACCCTCAGGCTGATCCACATATACATCTTCTTCCAGATTTCCATTTAAGAAAGTTGATTTGACATCCATTTGGTGCACTTTCCAACTATTTTGTGCAGCCAATGAGAGTCCTAATCTAACTGTTCCCAATCTAATCACAGGAGCAAATACTTCTTGATAGTCAATCCCATGTTTTTGTTTGTATCCTTTCACTATTAACCTTGCTTTATATCTATCAATATTACCTTTTTCATCTAATTTGGTTTTATAAACCCACTTTACTCCAATGGACTTGTAACCAGATGGAAGACTTACCAAATCCCAGGTGTCATTCTTTACAATGGCCTCTATCTCTTTGTCCATAGCCTCCCTCCATTTCCTTTGTTGCCAAGCCTCTTCAAAAGAAACTGGATCAGCATCTGAAAATAAAGCAAAATCAGCTGTGTCATTGAAATTCAGGCTTCATGAGTCATTGTATATGTCCCTTAGACTTCTATAGCCTCTTCTTGGTGGACTTTCAGTGCTGTCTATAGGAGAGCTTGAGTTTTCAGATGTTTGAGAGGTTGTAGGAGTGTTAACAGCAGCCTCAAATACAGTATTTCCTTGATCTTCATTGATTTCTTCTTGTCTTTCTGTAGTTGTGACAACCTATGGACTGTTCCCTTCTTGCCTTGGTAAATCATTCCAGGATTTCCCTTCATGAAACACAACATCTCTGCTAACGATGATTTTCTTAGTGATAGGATTATAAAGCTTGTAAGCTTTAGATTTATCACTATAACCCACAAAGATGGTCTTTTCTGACATTTCATCAAGTTTACTTCTCTTTTGTTCAGGTATGTGTGAGTAAGCCACACATCCAAAGATTCTAAGATGTCCAACAGCAGGTTTAAAACCTCTCCAGGCCTCTTGTGGAGTCATATTTGAGAGTGCTTTAGTTGAGGTCCTGTTTAACAGATACCAGGCACAACACACAACTTCTGCCCAATTTTTTTTTTTCAAGATTCTTGCTCTTTAACATGTTTCTTGCTTTTTCAACAAGGGTCCTATTTAATCTTTCAGCCACCCCATTTTGTTGAGGGGTGTATCTAGTGGTCATATGATGGTGAATTCCATTTTCTTTTAGAAAATCAAAGAAGTATGAGGAGTTTTACTTCCCCCACCATCTGATCTAATGGCTTTGATCATATGACCACTTTGTTTTTCAACATAGGCCTTGAATACCTTAAACACATTAAAAACTTCAGATTTTTCTTTTAGAAAATAAACCCAGAGTTTTTTTGTTGTGGTCATCTATGAAGGTAATCATGTATCTGTTACCTCCAATAGAAGGGGTTTTCATGGGGCCACACAAGTCTGTATGGATAAGCTGTAGTGGCTTTGTGGCTCTCCAAGTGTGTTCTTGGAGAAATGATTCTCTAGCCTGTTTTCCCAACATACAACCTTCATAGACTTCTTCTAATCTGCTTAGACTTGGTAAACCTTTAACAAGATTGTGCCTTTGCATATAACTTAAGTATATAAGGTTTGTGTGTCCATACCTTTGATGCCATAGCATAGTGTTTTGTTTTGTGGATATGTTGAATGAAAACAAAGTGTTTTCATTGAAGTTTAAGGGGAACATCCTGTTACATGTCATGTAGATCTTTCCCATGAGACTTCCATATATGTCCTTTACTTCACACACCTTACCTTTAAAATGTAATTCGTAGCCTTTCTGGAGTAGTTGTCCTACACTGAATAGGTTGTGTTTTAACTCAGGGAAGTGTTAATGATAATGTCTCCCATTCCTTGAACATTCAGCCTTTTGTCATCACCTGTTCTAACTTCCCTCTTTTGTGTTTCATCTCTTTGAACAAATAGTTCTTTATTTCCTGTCATATGGTTGCTGCAACCACTATCTATATACCAAGTGTTGTTTGCAGAAACTTCTTGAGTGTTGAGTATCATAAACATAGTATCATCACTTTCAATATCGATGAAGTTGTTGTTTCTGAAATTATTGTCTCTATCTTCTGTTGTTCTATATCTGCAGAATCTTGCTAAGTGTCCAAACTTTTGGTAGTGATAACATTATATAGGTGTTGATGGTCTTCCCCTGCCTCTCCCTTTCATGTCTGTTTGCTGTTTCTTATCAAAGAATCTGTTTTTCTCATGTGAGTTATATTGCTGAATCTGAAATGCTTGCTCATAAGGAGTTGAATCAAATTGCTTGATTCTAAGTTCATGAGACTGAAGAGTACCTATTAAACTCTCAAGGGATACGAAAGAGAGATCCTTAGATTCTTCAATTGCTACCACTATATACTCAAATTTTCTTGTAAGACTCCTTAGGATTTTTTCAACCATTTTCCTATCATCCATGTCTTCACCATTTAATCTTAATTGGTTTCTTAGCATAATTACCCGATTGTAGAATTCCTCAACTGTTTCTGATTCCTTCATTCTCAATCCATCGAATTATCTTAATGTTTGCATCAGATTAGTATCTCTATATTGGTTCCGTTTCAGGACATCGGAAAAGAAAACATTAAGAAAAGTTTCAACTAAAATGGAACAACATAATGCAACAATAATGATTCCAAACTGAAGCAGATTCACGTTGAAAGGATGACCCAACCCTATATGTGATGATTTAACCAAAAATTTGTTGGAACAAAAACAGAGTATACAAAATATTTGTTTTATTCGAATCAACACATAACAATATGTTACAGACACAATTAAATATACAAGGAAGGGACACAACCCTTCAAATCAAACGACACAACCATTCTAAACAAACATGACAGTTAACTAACTGTCATGTCCCTTCCTAATAAGATTAATTGTCACTAAGGTTAAACTAAATTAACTGTCACTAATGGTCTAGCTTAGTTTCAACAAAATTAAGCACATTCATTTCGACGTGAATCCTATCAAACTTTTAATTGAATGAAATTTGTTCATGAATTATC